ACCTGAGATCATCATCTGAGCTAAAATCAAGAGTCAGGCACTCAACTGAGGCACCCAGGTGCCCCATATCTGTTCTTTTTTTTTTTTCTTTATATTTTGGATGCTAACCCTTTATTAGATGTCACTTGTCTCCCCTTCATTGTGCTGTCTTTTAGTTTTGTTAACTGTTTCCTGTGCAGAAGTTTTTTATTTTGATGTACTGCCAAAAGTTTATTTTTTTCTTTTATTTCCCTTGCCTTAAAACACTTAATTAGAAAGATGTTACTGCCAATGTCAAAAGAAAAACTGGCTGCTCTCTTCTACAGTTTTTATGGTTTCATGTCTCACATTTAGGTCCTTAATCCATTATGAGTTTCTTTTTGTGTATGGTGAAAGAAAGTGTCTACTTTCATTTTTTGCATGTAGCTGTCCAGTTTTCCCAACACTATTTGTTGAAGAGACTTTTTCCCATTGCATATTCTTTCCTCCTCCTGGGTTTCCTGTTCCATTGATCTGTGTGTCTATTTTTGTACCAGTACCATACTGTTTGATTACTATAGCTTTGTAATATAATTTGAAGTCTGGAATTGTAGTATCTACAGTTCTGTTTTTCTTTTTCAAGATTGCTTTGGCTATTCAAGGTCTTTTGTGGTTCCATACAAATTTCAGGATTGTTCTAGCTCTGTGAATAATGCTTTTGGTATTTTGATAGGAATTCCATTACATTTGTACATTGCTTTGGGTAGCAGATGTTTTAACAATATTCTTCCAATCCATGAGCATATGCAGTTGTAATATGTGCACTTACATATACATTTATAACTTGGCCAGCACTTTTGTATTACTGTACCTATACATGCTCTCCTTCCCCCTGCACTCTTCCCTCCCATCATGATGCTTCAGATTTCTGGGTGTCAGTGTCAGCCCCAACCTCTGTCCAACAGCCCTCCCTCAAAACATTTGGGCATCCCTCTTTCTCCATTATACAGTGCTAAGTAGATGGCCTTAATTCCTTTTGGGGCCAGATAGGCAATTGTTTTAGTCTGTGCATGCTGTGGTGTTGCCAGGTCCTTCCTTCTGGATACTCAACCTCTTCATTGTGTGTTTTGAGTTGGAAAACTGGCTTGGCTAACTGGGGAAGGGATTGTGACGTTATTAGGGCAACTGGTCTCAGCTTCTTTGTTGTCTTCCATCATTAATATTCTGATGGTAAAAAAAAAAACTGAATACTATTTTTATTGGCTGCCCAGATATGTTGCCCCTAGACCTACTGTGTTCCATTAGTCCTATCCATAAGTTCTCTGTGAGTCCAGCTCCCTTGACTTCCAGGCCAGCCCTGCTGCACAGTATGATAATAGTATTCATCTGTCTTCTGGTAGTTAGGCACCACCGCCCGGCCTTTATATTGGCGAGGGTGGGGAGAATTTCATCCTTTCCACTATCATCAGTGAATCTAGTTCTATAACCGCCTTGTTTACCATCATGCATCAGGCCTGCCTTACAGAAGAGAGCTACCACTGAACTTTTTTACTTTAACAAAGTGCATGTGGGCATCTTGTATCCCTCATGTGAGAACACTTCACTGCCTTATTCTCCCACAAAACTCCTAACTCCAGAGAAATCAAATAGAGGACCACTGTACAAGATGCCTAAACAGTCCTCTTCCAAAGTGTCATGGTCATAAAAAACAAGGAAAGGCAAACTTAAGTCACCAGAGACCAAGATTTGACAACTAAATGCAGTGTGTGATATCCTAGATTGGATCCTGGAACAAAAAGACATCAGTGGTGAATAACATACCGGTTAATTACTTGGTTTTGATGCAGTGGTGATGGAAGATGTTAACATCAGGAGAAACTGGGTAAAGGGCATAAGGGAATTACCTTTATGACTTTGTAGTCTAAAATTATTCTGAGATAAAAGGTTTATTTAATAATTTATAAAGCCACAAGAAATGGAGGTGACAGCAATAACATCCTGGATTCTGGAAAGCAAAACTTAGCAGACCCCAGAAACCTGACTCCTAAGCCAACACTGAGGAATGCCAAGAAGCAAACCAATATTCCCCCATAGAACTGCCAAATGTTCATGAATATGACCTCAGGTACCAGCAGAAGGAGCCTGAATATAGGACTGACTGATTGCCAGATGGGGTCTTCAATACTACACAACTTGGCAATGCTTATCCAACATCCTTGTGTAAGCCTATGTGTCTCCTTAGAAGGAATAAAACAGAAGGTCTTTATGCTAATAAACACCAGGAAGAGTTGAAGGTAAGGTGACCTACTGAGGAGGAGTAAGAGCATGACAATTATCAACTTACTGCCTCTCATCCCCAAGTTCACTTTAATTGCTATTAGGAATTGAATTGTGCCCCCTTCTTCAATTCCTATATTAAAGTCCTAACCCCTAGTACCTTAGAATGTGACCTTAGTTAGACAATGGGGTCTTTTCAGAGGTAATAAAGGCCACCAGGATGGCTCTAGTCCAATATGTCTGCGGTCCTTATAAAAGATGAACTTGACACAAAGACAGGGAAGATGGTGTGAGGAGACACAAGAAGAACGCAGCCATCTACGACCCAAGGAGAGACCTGGCATGATCCCTCACCCCTCAGAAGGAATCAACTCTACCAACACCCTGATTTTGGATTTCCAGCCTTGTCAGTTGTGATACCTTAAATTTCTGTTAAGTAAGTTTGGCTGTGGTACTTGGGTATGGCAGCCCTAGCAAACTAATACAATTGCTACACTGCAATATTGAGCTGGAGCCTCTAAGCATATGTCCTTTTCTCCTTTCTTAGCTATCATACTTTCGTTTGCTTTTTCTTGTTAATACCATACCGTTGTCAGTGGTGTGTTTGTTGTGGTTTCCGGTGGAGACATCCAGTGGCTCTTAGCCTCAGGGTAGACAATCTTTATGTGACCTTGCAGCCCTGGCCCTGTGACCGCCTTGCTGGCCAGCAAATGGACTGACAAAGCCCTGACTTCCTCTGTGAGCCTGCCCTTCAGCCTGTGGAGAGGCATATCCTGCCCAACCATCTTGTATCCTAGTGACATGTATTCTTTCCAGTCCCAGTCATGGTTCCCTGCTTGCCAGCCTTGTCCTGACTGCAATCCAGGGAGATGGTTTCTACTTGCCTGGGAGCCCTAGCAAACTTCACCATCAGGTGAGCTGCACTCACACCTTCACCAATGAGATCTGAATCCCAGACATGGGGAGAGGGGTCCCCTTCCAAGTTTGTTCCTTTCTCAGGTACTCTGCTTTTAGCCCTAGAGTGTTCTTTATAGTTGTCTGTACCCATGTACACTTAGTGCCTTTGGGCTGTGACTGATACAGAAAGTAATACGAAAGTATATAATCAGAATATTTAGAACTTCAAGGCTGTCCCCCTCACTTGGCTACCTGAATGCTGGCAGCCAGGCTATGTTCCCCATCCAGGAGATAAGAAGATTACTCTGAAAAACTGGACAACTGTAATGGCGGTACCCAAGGAAAAGGTTTCAGAAATGTCAGTCAACAAATCCTATTTATACGAAACAGTTGCTTCCAGTCAGTTTCTTTGTGTCTCCTTAAATATATACAAACAACCAAGGATCATCAGGCATTTGAGGAAAGCCTTTAAAGTAAAAGGATCAAAACAAAAATGTTTTAAAGAATAATAGAAAAATAAGTCTACAAGGAGAGAAGAGAACACTTTAAAGAGCTATCACTAATTTCTCAGGTTTTGAAATGGTGGTGAAAAACTCAGTGGAAGGGTTAGAAGATGAAGTTGAAGAAATTGCTTACAAAATAGTACCCAAAAAAGTCGGAAAATAAGTTTGAAGACTAGAACAAAAGGACTCAGATGTGAATAATAAACATTCCACAAGGATGAAACAGAGATAATCAATGAAATCCTTGAAAATTGAAGAAAATTTAACTGAAGGCCATCAGTTTCTAATGCACAGCACAATGGGTACAAATAGACCCACCCTAAGGTACACATTGTGATATCCCAGTACAGAGAAGACCTTTAAAAAAAAAACAAAACCCCAAGATTTCACAACAAAGGATTGAGAATCTGAATGCATCAACACTGGAAATTACAATAAAATGTATTACTACCTTCAAAATTCTCAGGGAAAATTATCTTAATTTGTGTAAGGGTAAGTTTAAAAAAAAAAAAAAAAGGCTTCCAGGCACACAGTTCTCAAAATTTTACTTCTTAGTACCCTTTATTGGGAAACTATTGGTCAGCCAAAATGAGAGATTAGACTAAGAAGATGTGGGACATACAGAAGTGAATCATGAGGTGACAGATAAAGAGCAACCAGTCCAGATCGGAGCCAGTCAGAAAGGTACCAGAGATAAGTTTCCAAAACAAAACAGAATAACTAGTGTGTTTGAAGATTCGGAGAGGAAATTTATATAACTGAAGAGTAGTTTAGGGTTGACTAAATGATTGATACATAGAACATCGTGAAAATAAAATTACTGATTCAAAAAAGAATCCTGAGAAAGGAGAAGTCACCACAGTATATTACATAACTCAGCTGTGATTGGCATGTTTCATTGTCATAGTGATGTAAACATGGATTATTAACTAAATTCATGATAGGACCTTACTGAGAGGAAGAGGGGTTAGAGGGTGTGCCTGCGCTTAACCATGAATAATCAAGTAGGGATTTGGAGATGAAAAAAATGAAAGTGGCTACTTCTGGAGAGTGGGAAACAGGTAAGGTAGGGCAGGGGACCACTTTTTTGCTTTGTTTTATTTTGACTTGGGGGTTTTTGAAGCAAGTTTTCTAGAGCATGTTTGACTTTTCAGGACTCCACTTTATATTCTGTCTTCAGTGGCTTTCCTTTGAAGATGGCTTTGTATGCTAGCCCCAAGTTCTGGACCTAACAGAATTTAACTTGCTCATTTATAAAACAAAGAATTGTCATTTGAAAACCTCAAGGTGACTCTTCCATCTCTTGTCACTCTATCATTCTTTGATGCCAAGTTACCTTTTCTAGAGTTATAAATATAACATCTGGTGCCGCCTTCAGCAGCACATATACTAAAAATTGGAATGATACACAGAAGATTAACATGACCCCTGCACAGAGATGACAGGCAAATTCATGAAGCATTCCATATTTTTAAGTAAAATGTTTCTGAGTTCAAATATATTAAACAAATACAGATAAATATATCTGAATCTCACATCTAAAGAGTTTATTTTAAATTAAGCCTTCATAATCACTGACTACATATGAAAATAAATCCACAAGTTCTCTCAAATTAAACAATTATTGAAAGTACTTTTTTTTTTGAAAGTTCTTATTTATTAAAGAAATGCTTCCAAATATTGAAAATTAGAAGTTTTCTTACTGTGGCAAAACGCACATAAAATAAAATTTACCACTAATCACTTTTAGGTGTACAATTCAGTAGTGTTGGGGAAGAAGTGCTTTTTAAAGAAAATGTAAGCAGAAAGTAGCTCAGGGTTGGAACTATTTGTATCATGATCTATATCAATGTATTTACTTAATGTTCCTCATTTCATATTAGCTTGAAGAAATGATGTTAACATTATAAACCTTCAAATGTCTCCACTGTAGGTAAGATCGAAGCCTATGAAAACTATTTAAAATATTCGAGAAATTAACTCATTTTTTCACCCACTTAACAGTTGGGAGCCATTTGAAATAAAAAAAAATACAGTAGTGTAACTAAATCTAAGCAATCCAAAATAAATGCCCATTGTTTCTTGAGAGAGAGACAAGACATCACCAGTATGAGCTACAGAAAACACCCACATTAACATCTTGGATATATTATTTTCTTGCTGAATAAAAAGTTAGGCACACAGCTTTTCTATACAATAACTGGAATTGTGCACAGTCTCCCTCCACACTGCTCTGAAAATGAACTTTTGTTTTATGCAGATGTAGGCGAATTAGAATGAACAAAAGGCACACATGAAGGCTGAGAACGTTTAACTGAAAAGGAAAAACAGCTTTTTCTTCCATTATACAGGAGACCAGATGTAAATTGTTTACAGGCTATTTTGCAGTGGGCAGGTTAGAAGGTTCCAGCTGTCCTGTCTTTGAAAGTGGCTATCCCTGGCAAGTATTTTCTGACCGCTCCTGCCAAGGTTCCTAACACAGCCTTTCTGAAAGGATAAGCAGGAAGAACCCCCTTCTGGAATCCTCTGTTCCTGTATCAGTGTCGAGGACCAACTTATTCCCACACCCACTATTGCAATAGCTTGCTCATTTTAGGGTCTGAGTCACTTGCTAGAGGATGGGTCCACAGGTTGCTGATGGGGCTGGGAAACTCCTGCAGATCCTCTAACAGAGCTTTTATGGGAGAAGAAGGCTGCATGACCCTTCTTAAGAAGGCTGTTGGAGGGGCAGCGGGGTGACTCAGCAGTTGAGCGTCTGCCTTTGGCTCAGGTCGTGATCCTGGGGTCCTGGTTTCAAGTCCGGTGTTGGGCTCCCTGCATGGAGCCTGCTTCTCCCTCTGCCTGTGTCTCTGCCTCTCTCTGTGTCTCTAATGAATAAATAAATAAAAACTTTGAAAAAAGTAAAGATAACGTTTTTAAATCAACCATATTAGCTGCATGTTGCAAAGATAGGCAACCTGAAATTGTAAGATATTTTCTGCTTATCAGATAAGCAGGAATAAATAATAATTCAGCAAAGGTATAGAGAAATAGGCATTCACATATACTATTAGTGAGTTAATATTTGTAAAAACCTTAGAACAGTTGCCTAGCACATAGTATACTTTACCTAAGTGCTTGTTAAATAAATATTGGTAGGCATTTATTGGTAAAAACTTTGGGGAAGACAACTTACCAACAATGGATATTAAAATTTTGTATGTGTATTTTCTGATATCCACCACATTTGATTCTAAGACATTCCACCAAAATACTCAAAGATGTATTATGTAGAAAGATGTTCAGGGAATTACTGTAATCATGAAATTTGAAAACATCACTGCCATCTTCCATGGTGTGTTTCTCCTCAGGCGGGTAGGAGGGTGGCCACAGCAGTTCCAGGGAGCACATTCAGATCATCAACATCCAAGGGAAGAAGACAGTGTCTTCCTGGGGCTCACTCCTAGGACTAGAAAAACTCTTCCCAGGAGCTTCCCGGTAGACTTCCTCTCTGTTCTCACTGGACATTTCTGGGATCCATGAACACTCCCACAGCAATTTCCAGCAAAGGGAACGGCATTACTCTAGCCCAGTGGTTCTTTCTTTTTTTAATAATAAATTTATTTTTTATTGGTGTTCAATTTACCAACATACAGAATAACACCCAGCGCTCATCCTGTCAAGTGCCCCCCTCAGTGCCCGTCACCCATTCACCCCCACCCCCCGCCCTCCTCCCCTTCCATCACCCCTAGTTCGTTTCCCAGAGTTAGGAGTCTTTCTGTTCTGTCTCCCTTTCTGACATTTCCCACACACTTCTTCTCCCTTCCCCTCTATTCCCCTTCACTATTATTCATATTCCCCAAATAAGTGAGAACATACACTGTTTGTCCTTCTCCGATTGACTTACTTCACTCAGCATAATACCCTCCAGTTCCATCCACGTTGAAGAAAATGGTGGGTACTTGTCATTTCTAATGGCTGAGGAATATTCCATTGTACACATAGACCACATCTTCTTTATCCATTCATCTTTCGATGGACACCGAGGCTCCTTCCACAGTTTGGCTATTGTGGACATGGCTGCTAGAAACATCGGGGTGCACGTGTCCCGGCGTTTCATTGCATCTGAATCTCTGGGGTAAATCCCCAGCAGTGCAATTGCTGGGTCGTAGGGCAGGTCTATGTTTAACTCTTTGAGGAACCTCCACCCAGTTTTCCAGAGTGGCTGCACCAGTTCACATTCCCACCAACAGTGTAAGAGGGTTCCCTTTTCTCCGCATCCTCTCCAACATTTGTGGTTTCCTGCCTTGTTAATCTTCCCCATTCTCACTGGTGGGAGGTGGTATCTCATTGTGGTTTTGATTTGTATTTCCCTGATGGCAAGTGATGCAGAGCATTTTCTCATGTGCGTGTTGGCCATGTCTGTGTCTTCCTCTGTGAGACTTCTCTTCATGTCTTTTGCCCATTTCATGATTGGATTGTTTGTTTCTTTGCTGTTGATTTTGATAAGTTCTTTATAGATCTTGGAAACTAGCCCTTTATCTGATACGTCATTTGCAAATATCTTCTCCCATTCTGTAGGTTGTCTTTGAGTTTTGTTGACTGTATCCTTTGCTGTGCAAAAGCTTCTTATCTTGATGGAGTCCCAATAGTTCATTTTTGCTTTTGTTTCTTTTGCCTTCCTGGATGTATCTTGCAAGAAGTTACTGTTAGCCCAGTGGTTCTTAAACTTTTTTATTGAGACCAGTCCGGTGCTTAAAAATTAAGGATTCCAAAGGGCTTTTGTTAATATGAGTTATATTTATTATTAAAATGTATAAATAATTATTTATTTAAAAATAACAACAATAAACCCATTAAGGGCAGCCCTGGTTGCCCAGCAGTTTAACGCCAACTTCAGCCCAGGGCATGATCCTGAAGACTCGGGATCAAGACCCACGTCAGGCTCCCTGCGCTTCTCCCTCTGCCTGTGTCTCTGCCCCTCTCTCTCTCTCTCTCTCTCTCTCATGAATAAATAAATAAAATATTTTTTTAAATGATGTATTTTTTAAAAATAAATAAATAAAAATAAAAATGATTTATTTTAAAATAAATAAACCCATTAAATGTTAACGTAAGTTAACATAGCTATATTTTCCAAAGGAAAAGCATTTTTATTTTTATTTTTTAAAGATCTTATTCATGAGAGAGAGGCAGAGACACAGGCAGAGGGCGAAGCAGGCTTCCTGTGGGGAGCCCAATGCAGGACTTGATCCCAGACCCCAGGATCACAACCTGAGCCAAAGGCGGACGCTCAACCACTGCACCACCCAGGTGTCCTAAGGAAAAGTGTTTTTAAAATAAAAATTGGGTGTATTTAAGGTATATATGATGATTCGATATACATACAAGTGGTGAAATGATTATGACAAACAAGCTCAGAACATACCTGTCCTCACATAGTTACCATGTGTGTGTGATGAGAGCACCCGATATCTGTTCTACCAGCACATTTGCAGCATTCAATAGTTTTATTAACTGTAGTCATTTGCAAGTTAGATCTCTAGACTTACTTATCCTACATCCAACTGCAACTTTGCACCCTCTGACCAACATCTCCCCATTGCCCCCACTCTAGCCCCAGGAAACCACTTCCCTCCTCTCTGCTTCTATGTATTTGGCTTTTTTAGAGTCAAAATACAAGTGAGATCATGCAGTTTTGTTTTGTTTTTTTCTGTGTCTGGCTTATCTCACTTGGCATAATGTCCTCCCAGTTCATACGTGTTGTCACAAATGGAAGCATTTCCTTCTTTTTTAAGGCTAGAGAATATTCCATCATATGTACGTACCACAATTTCTTTATCACTTCATCCATCCACAAAAACCTAGGTTGTTTCCATGCCTTGGCTCTTGTGAATAACGCAGCAATGAACACGAGAGTGCATATGCTTTCATGGGCGGGGTGGGGGGCAGTTTATACCCAGAAGAGGGATTGCTGGATCATATGGAAGTTCTGTTGTTAGACATAGTGAAAGCATTTAATGAGAACAGTGGTCTTGTTTTCCATTTTTGCTTTACTTTACTATTTGGCTTAGTGTAAGACAGCTGGATTCTCATATATGCTTTTGCACTCATTCAATCTGTTATAATCTGTTGGTAGAAGTATTTTTTTAAAAAACTCTGGCCTCACTCAAATATGTAGCTGGAGAAGGGAGAAACTCAGAGACAGATGAAAAGGGTTTCAGGAAACCCCAGGGGCTCTGGCTGCATTTTAGAAGCCTCTGCCCTGGGACGCCTGGGTGGCTCAGCGGCTGAGCATCTATCTGCCTTCGGCCCAGGGCATGACCCCAGGGTCCTGGATTGAGTCCCACATCAGGCTCCCTGCAGGGGAGTCTCTGACTCTCTCTCTGTGTCTCTCATGAATAAATAAATAAAATATTTTTTAAAAAGAAGAAGAAGCCTCTGCCTTAGGCAAGGAGGCCCACCCCAGGGGAGGAGGTGGACCATTCTCTCCT